ATGCTTCGGGTGTGATGTTGCAATAAGTATTAGAACTCCAGATGAGGAACTTGTAATTGTTTTGTTTGTTGCAACACATGGATTTCTTCCATGGAATTCCATTTGGGACACACCAGCTTCCATGACTGTGTTAAAGCTTTCTCCTGAAAATACCTCATGCCTTTACAAAGAAGTTATGTAAGTTCCTGACGCTATCAGACATCAAATCTGGAGGCTGTTAGATACCTTAGTGTTTTTCAATGCTTCACATAGTTCTAAACAAGTAACTACAGTCTAACGTAGAAACATATTTAGTTTCTCTTTGTGCTAGATTGCCAATGAGTTAACACCTACTATTTGCATTTTGGGGTTGGGGTGAAGAGTGAAGTGTTGTTGGTTTTTTTTTTTTGTTTGTTTGTTTGTTTCCTTTTTTCAAATAGCTCAGCTTTGAATAGACCACGGGTATGCCCTAGAATAGGCCATAGAAAACACATTAGAAAGAAAACACCTGACAGTATCTACCTTGGTGTGTGCACAAGCAATTCAGAAAGTAAAAAACAGAGCAACAGAAATACAAAATATATGAAAGGCACCTCCTGTTCAGTCAGTCTGAAGTAGTTTGGCTGCAAGAGAACATCTATTTAGCTATTATATAAAAAGCACAGTTACCCTTATGTAAAAGTAAGACAATGAAAGATGAAATTAAGAATAGGAAACTTTAAAAGAATTATCATTTGTGTTATAACAGTCCAAATTTGAATGTTATCCCTTTTATATAACTTAATAGATTACTTGTCCTTCATTATTCACTGCGTTATGTGTTGCAGGTTAAAACTAAATATGTGGATTTGATTTACTTCATTTTATTTGTAATGTATTACTTCAGAATGAATTATTATACTTCGAGATATATTCCTCAGACTGTTTTGGTCCGCAACAATTAATTTGAATTACTCAGTTGAAATTAACACCAGAAGTTTCAAAACATTCTTCTTGAAAGTATTAGGCCAATGAAAATGGAACACAGCTGCCATTTTGTATTTCTTTCCATATTTTTTTGCAAGTACATTTTGTGAATAGCAACCAAAGTATTCATAGCTGGTTAAAAATGTAAAGCAAAAATGACGAAGTTATGACAATACTAGGAAACAAAACATAAAGTAACTGTACATGTGTTAATTAAAACTGTGATGAATCAGATAAAGTAGAAACACTGCAAATTATAATAGCAACTGGGAAAGAATAATGGAACTTATCTCAAAGTCTTTTCCGCAAATCCTACCCTGGTTGTGATACAAATGTGTGTGTGGGGAGAGGGAACAAAACATAAGCCCTCAGTGCTCAAAGCTTGTTTAGGGGGTGGTGCTAAGCTTGATATGTCCTTTTTGTAATTTTTTCCCTATCTTTAAACTTCCTAGTTGGGTTAATTTAAATAAAAATTATGCTCATGTACATGCTAGTGTAGTCTCACTATTGCAATCAAGTATGTTCCGTGCAGTGGAGCAGAAAACATGAAACTCATTTACACTTCCTTATAAACTCAGTGCTCCCTCAGGAAGAGGAAGGGACTGACTGAGCTTTCCTACACCTGGATCGCTGTGAAAGAAAGTAAAGTTTTCAATTATTTATATATAGTTTTATACTGCCATTTCAACAGTGTTATCTTCTTTTTTCAATGCTCTGATTAATTAAAGTTCTCAACTTTAGGTAAAGCCAGCATGTTTCATATTCAGACTCCACTCTACTCTTTAACCTCTCTGTAGTCCTTTTTTTCCAGGACTCTTACTAAAGGGAGCTGTTATTTGAAATCTCATGGGGTCCTTTTGATACACGTTTTCTTAATTATATGAGCAAATAATTTCATATTGTGTACATAGTGTAACTGTTTTCTTCTTATTCTTCAAGCGTCATGTACTGCTGTTTAGCCCAGCTGTGGCAGATCAACTTTCTTGAGTAATAACAGTATTGCCATTAATCTGGGCTGAGGACTTTCATACAAGCCACTTATTTTCTCTGGGTGACTGTGGTTTTCAGCATGTGATCTTTGTCCGAGTTGTGCACGCAAACCAGTTTCTCAGGCATGGTTTTAGAACACGAGTGCCACTCATTAGTGCAGTTAAGCCATCTAGACAACACTGAATAGTTCTTGGCAATGGAGTTGTTTCTGGGAACGCAAACATTCCTGGACTGATTGTTACCCTCCCCTCAATTGCACCTGTCTTAGTGCAAGTGCCAAGAAAAACTATCTGAATATAAAGTAAAGAGAGAAACACCTTAGCAGGTGTTTCTGAGGGAGTGGAGAACTTGAAGATAGCAAATCATTATGTGTGGTGATTTATCTGTAAAAACAGATAACACTTTCTGAAATATCAAGTGCAGCGAATGTTTGGTAGTGACTTTCTAAGAAGAAATCAGTTGATCTAAGAAGAGATCAATGCAGATCACAGTACATAGGCTGTTGGTAAGAGGCTTTGGGAAGTGGACACAAAAGCATAGTTCTCAGTCTCAGAAAATGGCCTTAACAATGGACTAACACAAATGTTTTCCATGCTTGTTTGTTAGTGCCTTAACTCAGAAAGATATCTGATTGTTCTGCACTTTCTCTTATTTGGTAGTTGCTTGTATATGTGGACGGGGCCTCGGAGGCATCCCTGCCTGACTGCTGCAGACTGATGGTTCATGAGACAGAGACAGCGAAGTTAATTCTGTCACTGTAGTTATATAACATGGTATGAATGCTTCATGCCTTCAAACTGCTTCCAGTTATCCCAGCAAAACCTACTGTACACATAGCTTTTGTGGAAGTGTTCTTTTATTTGTTCAATTGGTCATTTTGGAGGTGACTTTGCTGTGCCAGCAAGAAAATTCCTTTCTCTGGTGTATTCAGCATTCTCAGTCGAATAGTGTTCATGGCAGAGGACAACAGCAGGCTATATGCACCCACGTTACATATGCATCAAATACAAAACAATAACTCAAAAACATAATGCTCCACTCTTACTGCTGATTAATGATGAACAAGCATGCATCTTGATATGAGCCTTTCATCATTCTTGTCTCATCTGAGTCATTTGGAGTTTTGAGATCTCACCCTCCTTGCAGTTGCATATAGGACAAAATAGAAGAGCTGTAACACATCTCTGTATGAATTACAGTGTTACCTTTATGTTCAACAAGGCTGACTTTATCCCTTGCAACGTCCTTTCTATGAACCATTAAGGGTAATATCAACAGCAGATGAAACTTATATATATGGATGACTAATTAAACTCTGAAATCTGTAATGGTGCCAGGGCAGTTGTGAATATCCAATTCACATGATAACATGCATAGTGCTACAAAAGGAGAGATTGTTTCGGCATCAGTTTTGTGCAAAAGCTTCTCTCTTATTTTTCTTAAACTGAAGGAGGCACAACCAGCTGTACTTCATGCTAGAATAATAATGGATGGAGTTTATAAATGAAAGCAACTATGCCTGCTTCTGGAGTTTAAAAGCAAAAGATGTAAGCACATAGCAAGTTATGTTGCAGTATTTCTATAAAGTTATTTTAAGGTGAAATATGGTGTATCACTAAGTCTTTTTTTATTTTTTTTTTTATTTTTTGTTTTGGTGGAGAAAAATACTGAGGACTTCCTAAAGTGAAAATTACTTTTAAAATATTCATAGTCCTTGGAAAATGTCAGAAAATTATGCTAATATTTTAATTTTATATGAACTAAGACAGATTGGCCTCAATTCCATAAAGTGTTATAGTCTAGGAAGGTGTTCAGTTACGCATGTTGCTTTGACACTGGATCTTAATTAAAAGATTAGTTAAGTTTTGCTGTTATTCTTAACGCTGCAACTGTAGGCCCAGACAACTTGTTTCCTCTCTGTTCAATGTAATTGTTTTTAAGGTGTTACAGTTCTTATTTACATATATACCTTTTAAAAATTGTTAATTGTTTAGTTAATCAAATCTAGGTTTTAAAGCTGCATGCCCAATTATTCTTTTCATTCCCAAAGTCATTCTTGCAACAATGTTTTTTGACTCTTGGGACATTTTTCATACCAGTACAGGATTTTTTCTCTACTTTTTTGAGAATTAGAAACTTTGAATACTGAACTTCTACTACTTATCCATTTGTTAATGTCTCTGGAAGAATACCAAGCAGAGGACCACCATGCTCCAGGGGTCTGCTTTTGAGTACTGAAGCATCTTTAACTGTTTATAAATGTACCTTTTTTTTTTCTTCTGATGTTTTCCCTGTGCTTGCCACACAAGCCTTTGTACTTGCTTCTAACTGCATAATCAGATGCAAACAAATCCCTTTTCAAATACAGCAGTCTCTACTTCAACTTATTGTATGAGCACGGCAATGTGTATGATGTGGACAGAAATCCCAACTGAAATTAATCAGCTTTCTAGAAAAAAAAAATCAGTGCTGGGCATTGTGGCTTTTTGAAAAGGAAGCACTCTGGTGAGATCAGAGCAAACAACTGAAGTGCAACAACTTTTTCCCTGTTCAAACTAGATTGTGCGTAGCGCTGGTCAGCACACAATACCCCTGCTGGATATGTCACCAGATATTGGAAAGTTTGCTTTCTCAACAGAAAACAGTGTTACTTTTGGGTTCCTTTAGGGTTGCTAAATTTCTGGTATTCTTTGAAAACTATCTGCCTAAGTGAAGAATTACATGATTTCCAAAGTCTGCATTCCTAAGCTAAGGCGAGAGGTGGTGAGGGTAAACCCGAGTGATATTGAACAAATGCAGTGCTTGCGGAAAGTACTTCGTAGCTCCCTAGGCCCAGAGACAATACTTCTGACCTGCTCAGAACAGCCGAGCCCCGACCCAGAAGGCTGCACCAGTGGCTGCGGAAGCGGAGCCAGCCCCTCGACGGCGCGAATCCCTCGAATGGCTCTCAACGACCGCTGCCCCGCCGGGCGCGCGCGCCCCCTGCCGGCGCCCCGCCGCCTCTGCCAGGTCGTGGCGGGTAGGCTCCTCCCTCCTCCTCCTCGGGAGCGGGACGAGTCCCGCACCCAGCCCCTCTTCCTGCCCCCTCCCCCGGTGCAATGGAAGTCCCCGGGAATCCTCCTCCTCCCCGCTAACAGGCGGCGGCCCGGCCCGGTGCAAAATGCTGGGCATGTACGTGCCGGACAGGTTTGCCCTGAAGTCGTCCAAAGTGCAGGACGGGATGGGGCTCTACACGGCCCGCAAAGTAAAGAAGGTGGGTGACGGCCTGGGAGCGGCGGCGCGGCCCGGCGGGGAGCCGCTGCCACGTATCCCGGCAGAGCGGGGCGGCTCAGCCCTGTTCGCTCGGCGCTCGCCCCACTTCCGCCCGGCCAGGCTCCCTCTGCCCGGAGCCGGCCGGTGCCCAGCGGGGCGGCGTGCCTGGGCGGGAATGGGGAGCGGGACGGCCGGCCCGGCTACCTGCGGCGGCTGTGCTCTGCGGGCTGCTGCTTTCCCAGCCTGTCACGACTTTATTTCGTGCTTCTGGGTTCGCCTAGACCTCCCGGGGACGGACGTGCCCGTCTGTCGTGCGCAGGCTCCTGCCTCATCCGAGTCGCTGCAGCCCGGCGGGCGAAGGGTTAATTCCTCACTACGGGGCCGCGTCCCCAGAACTGGGGAGGGTGTGTGTAAGAGACTATTCTGTTAACTTCTGTGTCTCAAAGCTTGCTGGGGAGCAATAGCTTGCTGCGGGCTGCTTGTTCATTAAAGAACCTCATCTCCCTCCTATAAATTGGAGCGAGACAGTGTGATCCCCCTGACTGCAGCTACCCGAAATCCCTCCTGTCCTAAACAGGACGTGGCTCCTTGTGTTCAATGACTGAAGGGAAAACTTCTTAATCGTTTGGAGTCCCTATTAAAACTGCTCAGTTTACACGTTTAAACAACTTGTTTCAACCGCTAGAGGCATACCTGAAGTTGTGAACCCTGCATTTCTGTGCACTTCTACTTACTGTAAATGTCTTGCTTTACATCTTTGGCCAGGTTTTGGTGCTGACTTGGTTGGGAGGACTGCCAGGTGTTGCAGTGTCCACCGGGCTTAAACACCGTAGGGTAGATGTGCCTCATCTCTGAGGCCTCCTTTAGGGATAAAAGGAGGAGAAGGGGATTGAGGTTTTTATCGGTTGGCTTAATGGCTTTTTTTTTTCCACTGACGGTCTGAACGCTCATATTAAACCTTTGGGAATTCACACATGAAGGAAAGTTGTAGACTGCTATCGCACATGCATCCCTGGACTCTGAAATGGAATGAACTCGAGAGTGAAAGTGACCAAAATTAATATCTGTGTGTCAGTATCAGCTGAAAGTCTGAATCCTCTTCCTTTATACTGTTCTAAATCAAACCCTTAGGTCTGCATGCTAGGAAAAATAGATCTTTTTTCTTGCTAGAACTGCTCCATATCGTTTCTGAATTGTTTTTTTTTTTTTTTTTACAGAGCAGGTATATGCTGTCAGAGCTCTGCTTGCACAGCTGTGTCAGTGTGAGCTCCTTGTTCAGGACGTCCTAGCAAAACCCACAAGTTGCCAGTGGGACGTGTACTGCATGTGAAAAGCAGAAAGGAAAGGCAGAGACACTGACTGTAAGATCTTTCAGAGTTTTAGGAGCATGTTGCGAAGTACTTATTGTGGATTTGGTTTTTGTTTGGCATTGAATCCTCTGTGCTTTTAGCACCAACAGATGTGGTATGCAAAAGCCCTGGTCAGAACTATGTGCCTGACTTTGCTTCTCAGCAAGATGAGGAATCAGCTTCTGAGTCGCCCTATGAAAACTGGGCGTTGTTTAGAACAAGAATTCCTAAAAATGGTTAAAGAACTAAGCACAATGGGTGGCCTCAGCTGTTCAGAGAACAGTAGATGTATAAAAAGCACAAATAATACACTGGATATTACCAGGCTGTGTGTTACTTTTTTCCCATGGAAAAAAAATCACATCTGAAGTGCTTTCAACTTTCCCCCTGCCCAGTCATGAGTGAGGCAGCAGTACTGTGCTTCATGGCTTTGATACAGAGTAGTTAACAGCTGTCAAACAAGTAATTAATTGGTAATTAATTCTTCAGAACTCTGAGACTGAGAGTAGTTGCTGAATATGACGCTGATTGAAAAATAAAATCTGTGTTCTTGAGCTGCGCCCCAGCCTGGATGAAAGAAGGCTGTGGAGTGACCTCATTGCAGCTTTTCAGTGTCTAAATGGAGCTTATAAGCAGGAAGGGAGTCAACTCTTTACAAGGGTAGATAATGGCGGGACAAGGGAAAGTGGTTTTAAGTTGAGGGAGGGAAGATTTTGGTTGGATGTCAGGGGAAAGTTCTTTACAGAGAGAGTGGTGAGGTGCTGGAACAGGCTGCCCAGAGAGGCTGTGGATGTCCCGTCCCTTGGAGAAGTTCAAGGCCAGGTTGGATGGGGCCCTGAGCAGCCTGGTCTGGTATTAAATGTGGAGGTTGGTGGCCCTGCCTGTGGCGGGGAGGTCGGAGATTCATGCATGATCCTTGAAGTCTCTTCCAACCTGGGCCATTCTGTAATTCTTTTATTTCCCATGAATAGGATATAATACACAGCTGTATTTGAAAGTCAAACACACTTCAGATGATCTTAGATCAGAAATTGCAGTAACAACTGTCCAAATGTTAAATACTCATGAAGAATGCTCTGAATATTAAAGTGTTTGCAAAATTTTGGAAATGGTATGTTTTGAACTGCTGTTACCTACCATCTGCCTTTGTGCCTTCAGGCATTATGCTATGTTTCCAATTTTTAATTTTTTTTTTTATTTTTTTTTTTTTGTCTGAAGGTGTAAAAGTGAAATCTGTTTGGTTTGTTTTGTGACCTTTATAAAAGCTGTCATTTTCTTGTAATTTTTTTTTCTCCAGCATCTGGAGTTTGGCTGCAGCACCAGTATGATAAGACCCCTGGTATAATAATGAGAGCTATTGCATTTCTCAGTGTTCTGCTGAGATCGGAACAAGATTTGTCACGTTCTGAAAAGCAGCTTTTTTTGAATGATGTGCCTTTCATAACTTCAGACTGCTTTATTGATCTGTGAGGAAGTCTTACTATGTTTCTGATCTATATATTCAGTATGACAGTGTGCTTATTGGCTAGGACTAATTGATGTATTGGAAAAAAAGATCATCTTTAAGGCTGAATTAATAATGGTGCTTATCCCCATGGGCCTTTGTGTTGTTAGATCCCAGGTTTTGTGTTTCTAATTTCTGCTTTCTGTCCAAGTTTGAGGAGCCGTAAAAAGCACTTGGAAGTTTGAATCATCTCCAGTTCACGTTATGTTCTCTTTATATTAGAGGTGGGCATCTTGCCTTTTGCTTTCTCTATTGTTCTGAGCTTCCAGAAGGGCTCAAACATATTGCAGTAGAGGTTTATTACCTTGGAGTAGTTGAGCTAGGAATGACATATGGTGTTTCATGTTTTCAGTCAGCACGCACTACTAAGCTGTTGCTGTGTTTCACCCCAGAGGCGATGCGGGGTTCAGTGATGGGTAAAATTAATCCTGTAGGTGCTTTATCTGGTAGCTAGGCATCTTTTCAGTTATGAGGATGAAAGTATTACTGAGGTGAGGGTTGTGGAAACTTCCAAAGTAGCTAAGGAATTAATTCATCACTTTCTGCTCACTGAAGTGTTATTCTGCTGCTGAAGTGAGTCTGGGAGACCAGTTATTGAAAGTTCTGTATTCATTACGTGCTTAAATTATTTCTGTATTAAATTTATGGAGAATTTATCTTTTTCTTTCCATAGAAGAGAAGTAATCCATATTATAGTCAAACAATAGTTCTTTTCATCTTGATAATTGCTACAAGTAACCGGAGATTCTGCAGATGCAATTTTGCCCTTCTTCAGAGCTCAGCAGTTGTAGTGAGCTATTTTCCTTTCTGCACTAAAACTATTTGATGCTTTGTAAAAAAGTGGGAAAAGCAAGTTCAGCTTGGCATGAGGTATCTTCTCCAGAAGGGCCTACCTTATCTTCACTGACCCTAGAAAGGACCATACAGCTCTAGAACAGAATTACTCTGCTCTCATCTTGACTTCTTCCTTAACCTAAGCGAACAACACAGCAAATTGCCCCCCTTGTAACATCTGCATGGCCCCTGTTAGACAGTGCTGTGCTTCTGGAGGGCATTCAGGAGAAGATGAGGACATTGGTGGCTGTGCACAGGTAATTGTACTGACCAAATTTCACCTTCATTGCAAATAGAGTGAAAGAAGAAGGGAATATCAGTTTGAACGTTAAATCCTAGGATTTGTAATCTGACAGGAGAGGACCGTTGACTTCTTATGATTAGCTGGAATGGAAAACAGAGGGAAGTGAAGGAGCTGAAGCCTCGCAGTGCCAATATTTGCTGTCCCTGCTAATATTTGCTAACCCTGCCCATGTTTGCGTCCCCATTCATGATTTGGGCTCCAATTGTTCTCTGGTGCTCTTGTCTTTTTAGCTCCTTTATTTGCTGGTCTTTCTAATGATATCTTTGTTGAGCACATTTCAAACTATTGCTTCTCAATTCTGTGTCATTATTATTCAATGCCTATTTTGTTTTTCCTTGTTACCTCCTCAGATTATTATTATTATTATTATTTTAAATTTAGTTGGTTGTTTCTAGGAGGAATTATCCTGTAGGTCTTCCATGCCACTTCTTCATTGACACTGTACACACTGGCAAGGAAGGAAGAGGGCAAATGTGCAGCAGACTGTTCCTAGGATTGTGGAATGTGCCTGCGGGAGGATATTTTCAGAGAAGATCGATCCTTTTATTAGCCAAAATGTTGTAAAGATGAAACAAATTTGTTTCTTATTGTGTAGTTATAACTTGTAATGCCTTAAAGTATATTAGAGCCTTTCTATTTCAATACTGCCTAAAGGAAAGTAGTATTCTGCATTCCAGTTTGTATGGTTTATGATTGCAAATAAGAACAAGTAGAAAAAAAACGTTAGATCTATATAAGCACTGGGTATAGAATTTACCCTGCTGCTGACATGACATCTGGAAAGGAAAAAAGAAAAAAACCAAAACACTGAACACCAAACCCCAAGACATTTGGAAGGACATATCAGTGGATGTTTTCACAGTATGTGTTAGCGCTAGCAGGTGTTAGAACATTTTAATTCTGTTTTTGAAGGCTTGAATTAATTCACAGAAGTGTGCATACTCCTACTTTTTAAAATAAATCCCTCTGTGTGTTCAAAACCTCAAAACTATTTAGTGATTTGATTTGTGGCACTTCAAAAAGTAGTGTTGCAAATAATCCTGCAAATAAATCTAATGAAAGCTTTGTGCTTACCAGATGTCAGATACTTTGCATTTAGTAGGATGTCTACTGCAAGGTGATTCCTGAGAATCCTAGAAGAAATCTGACTTGTAAATATAACCCTTATTTAAAATCTGAAAAAATGCTATTTGCAAAATTGGAAATTAAGTGTGAAGAGGAAATATGGTTTCAGGAGATTCACCAAGCTGTAAAAAGAGTGTAAATGAGCTAGAAGTTGAACTCACAGTGTTGTGCATGTTTCTGTCAGATAGTGGGTTTCCAAAGGAAAACTGCCCTTTTCCACTTGAAGCTAAAATTGAGACCTCTGCTGGAGCTTGGAAATTCACTGGCTATTTATTTTATTTTATTTTTTTTGTGTGTGTGTGTGTCCATGTGTCCACTGATACATTTTCTTTAATAATCATTTCTTAGGGTGAAAAATTTGGCCCCTTTGCAGGGGAGAAGCGAATGCCTCAGGAACTGGATGAGAACACAGACTGCAGGCTCATGTGGGAGGTGAGTAGTCCACAGTGACATCATCACACTTAGCAAAAACTGCTCCCAGAATTAATTTTTAATCTAATTTTTTTTTTTTTTTTTTTTTAAGTTAAGGCTTAAGGATACTGTAACTAGTCTTTGTACTTACTGCCAATGTTCATGGACTTTATTTTGAGAATGAGAAATTGCTTCTTTTAAGAAGAAAATGGCAAATAGTAATTTCTTATCAGTGAAATGTGAAGATATGAAAGCATAACAGTGCTGTGAAAAATTGTTGAATAATGTGAAAGAAAATGAAAATGATTCAAGTCATTTGAATATGGGAAGATGGTTGTCAGTTACGAGGTACTGATGTATGCTTACCAACAGCTGCCAGCTCATATAGCACACTGTCTACTGTGATGCTTTTAGTAGCATTTGGTAATTCTATGATAATTGCAAGATAAATAGTATGATGAAAGTTTTTGTATTTACCAGCATTTGTAATTCTTTGTGTAGGTATGAGATCTTTAGCAAAATAAAAACCTGGTGCTATGCGCAAATGAAGGTACAGGGGTTTTCAGGGCTATTCTAAACTTGTTTGAAGCACCTGCTTTTGTACTTCTGTTCCATCCTTATAATCTTTCTTTTCTGCTGTAGTTCTTTGAGCCTAATTTCACTCCCTCCTCCCCCCCCCTTTTTAATTTTTTCTTTCTGGATGAACACTTTGAACTGTAAGCACATTTAGTCCTCACTGATACCGGAAAAGATACTCATTTTCAAGGTTCTTGAAGCTTCTTGGTTTTCAGTGGTTAGGCATGGAAGAATGATGGTTATTTGGATGTTGTATGGTGTTGTATGGCACGGTGCAAAAACTTAGGCTTGACATCTGCCTTAGAGGATTATCCATGCATTTATTGAAAAAAAAAAATCAACCCACATTACAGCAAACCAAACTTATTTATAAAAACCAACCAAACAAAAAAAACCAACATTAACATCATTGAGAACCTTGTAAGAGAGCACAGTGTTGTTATAGTCTTAGCAGAGCTATAAATAGATTCAATGCAGTAGAATGACATGTGAAAGAATACTAAGAGCTGAATGCACATTTTGTTAAACACAGTCTCAGCTTAAATCCAGTGATGGAGTGGCAAAAATATCCCTAGATGAGTATTAACTCAAGTCTATGAATTCCTGTACCTTTGTTTATCTCTCTCTCTCTCTCTCTCTTTTTGTTTATCTCTCTCTCTCTCTCTCTTTTTTTTTTTTTTTTTTTTCATTCCCCTGATTCCTTTGGTTATGTATCAAGAGCAACTGTTCTTATCTTGTTTGTTCTCAGCTGAAAAAACAACAATAATACAGGTGCTTTTATTACAGATGTTTGCTGAATATGTGTTAATAGGCCATGGCTTACTTGCCTTTTCATAATGTTTCTGCAGTTTATTTTAAATTAATAAAATATTTGAGCTAGAACAAGGTTTTTAGAAAGGATGGTAGGTGGATTATGGGAGCTTTCTAGCTCCTATAGGTTTTTAAGTTGGTTGGAAAGCCATATGAGTTTCCAGATGTCTCATTGCTGATGATTAAATGAGATTTATCTGTTTCTGTAAGTCAGAAAATAAAAGGGAAATACGTGTATTTATTGATGACACTAATATGACCCCATTGACAGCAAACCAGAAAATAAGATTTTTATGAGCTGTTCTAAAACCGTTCCATAATATCTTGTTGTAACCTAGTTTTGAAAGCCTTGAAAAGATTCCTGCATACCAAATTTTATGACTTCCTGAATGTTTGAGCCTAAGTTGTTCATGTTTACTGAAGTTGATCTGAACACGAACTTTATATTATAATTTGAATCATGCTGGGAGTAGTCTTAAGTTGAAAATTGAGACCAGGAATGTAGAAAGTAAAAAGTAAAACAGTCCAAGTAAATGGTTATTCCAGAGACTGTGGGAGGCAGTCATAGCAACCAGCCAAGTTTGTGTGTAGTCAGCTGTACCAAATATATTAAAAATAATTAAGTTGATGACTATTGGATGAAGGAACTTTAAGCCCTGAACTCATGGTCCGACTGCATTAAAAAAAAAAAATACTTTCAGAGAGGGCACCTTAAGAAAGAAAGCTAAATAGCAGAATCTTTTCAAAGCTCAAGTAAAAATGAACCTTAAAGGAGCATTTAAAAGCTGGTCTTACGAGGAGTGGCTGAAGGAGCTGGGATTGTTCAGTCTGGAGAAGAGGAGGCTTGGAGGAGATCTTATTGCTCTCTATAACTATCTGAAGGGAGGTTGCAGTGAGCTGGGGGTCAGCCTCTTCTCTCATGTAACTGGTGATAGGACTAGAGGAATGGCTTCAAGCTGCACCAGAGGAGATTTAGGCTGGATGTTAGGAGATACTACTTCTCTCAAAGAGTGGTCAAGCACTGGAATGGGCTGCCCAGGGAGGTGGTGGAATCACCAACCCTGGAGGTGTTCAAGGAACGTTTGGATTTTGTGTTGTGGGACATGGTTTAGTGAGAACTATTGGTGATGGGTGGATGGTTGGACTGGATGATCTTGAAGGTCTTTTCCAACCTTGTTGATTCTGTGATTCTGTGATTTTTTTTTTTCTTGGTATGTGATTTTTAAGTTCTTCAACATTGTGAAATGATTTTCTGTAAGGAAGTTTACTGCATGCATTTCTAGTGGTGTAGAATAGTGGTCTCTGACATGACCTGTCTTGAGCAAGCTCTTTCTCCAAGACCAGCATTGTGAGTTGGCATCTTTAAGACATCATGCTGAGATGGAATTCATGAATCATAGAATCTTTTTAGTTGGAAGGGACCTTCAAAGGTCATCTTGCCCAACCTCTCTGCAGGGACACCTGCAGATACATCAGCTTGCCCCATCCAGCCTGAATTGTGTTATGCTTTTCTTTGGTCTTTGGGAAAACATGGAACCTGAAGGAATTGATTGAGTCAAATGATTTTAAAAACGGTTCTAAAAACAATAAGATTTGTGTTTAAATAAAATGCAGCATAGTGCTGCTTGTCTGCCCCTGAGCTGTTCATGCAAAAGGCTCCAGAAGATTGGGGTGGGATTGAGGGATCATACATGGTGTTACTGCTACCTTTGTAAATAGTTACTTGCTGAAATATTTTATTTACAAGTTGATGGACAAATGAAAACCATTTGATGCTGCAGTAACCATTTAGTTAGGAATAATAAAAAAGACCAGAAAATGTTTGGATGACTTTGTGCTTTTTCTTTCTTGCTGTTGATGAGCCACCTTCCAACTGTGCTTCAGCCCCTGTGCAACTATATCTGAATGGAATTGCATGTTGTACTAGTTAGAAGTGTAGCTAGTTACAACTGATGATTTGTGAGTTTTGTGAGATTTCTTAGCATCCCACTAGCGCCTTGATTAAGTACTTCTTTGTTGGTCTTTATTAGTGTAACTGAAGAGCAATTTGAAATTATGTGCATTTGCTTGAAGATAAAGTTCTCTGGGGCAAGAACAGAATAATCTTTAGGTATTAAATTTCATGGAGGTTTTTATCTCTGGAGGATCAAATATCCTTTTTAATATTTATTGTTCCCTTCAGGATGGAAAGGGAGGATATCTACTCAGTTTATTTTGTTTACTATTCCTAACTGAGAAAGTGGTATTCTTTTCAAAACTGTTGGATTGTGACGAACATAACTTTTTGGTTTGGTAAATGTTAAAACAGGAAAGACTGGAAAGACCTAGTCCTTCTTCAGATACTCTGACTTTCTGAGGAGGAATGTTCAGGATAGGGGTGTCACATCGTGTTAACACTTAACACGTAACACATCTCACGTTTGGTTATTGTGTATCTGCCAAGATGGTTGTCTTCATTGGTACATCGACTCCAAGAGCAGAAAAATGCAAGCAAAAAGATTTTCCAGGGAAGCTAATACTTATGTTTATTTATATTAAAAAGTGAAATGAAGGTATGTTTATGCTACTTCCAACTGCAGTGACAGTTAACAACTTTTCAGTTAACAGCAACAACAACAAAAACCACCAGACTACAATGAAGGTAGCATAAAGCCTTCTATTAACTGCAACTAGCTTTTGGTTGAAGCTTTAATGTTTGCTGTTTGAGGTATGAGAAATTGAGTGATTGAAACTAATGACGTTGCTTTTTTCTTCCATATCTTGGTAGTAGAGTGTGGTTCTAGTATAGGAAAGCTTTTGCATATAGGGCATTAAGTTGAATTTGCTCAAAATTTCATGGCAAAGTAAATAATAATTTGAAGATTTCTGAATTTACTCTCAAGACTAATGTTGTTTGGAAATCTAGTTCCTAGCAATATGGTCTTTATTTTTTTTCAGTGTGAAGACTAGCTTCCCGGTAAATATTTTTAAAGTTGTTTGCTTTTAGTACTTTTTGGAGGCTCTTGAAAGTAAGTTAATTTAAGACAACTTCTGCCAAACAAAAGTAGGACATGGATGTTGGGATTTCCAGAGATATTTCCCCTCTATCAGTTGCGATTTTGTGTCATAGATTCTTGGTATTATTGAATTAATACCAATTGAGACAGATGGGTATCTAAAAATAGTCATTAATATTTTTACTAGTTTGTTTATGTAGCTAGATTTCCTAAATGACCTATTTTAAACCTTACTTTAGTCATCTTTATCATTGTTAAGTGTGTGACTTTGAAGTCTTTATAGTGATTTTTGAAACAAGCCCATTGTAGGACCTTAATAGTCAAAATAGGACCTTAATGATCTTTTTGTGATGAGAAGCTCTGAAAGTGTCTGAGAATGTCTTCAACTTCTTAAAAAGTCCATTTGGATAGCTGGAGGTGCTAGCACTCAGATTTGAATTCATAATAGAAGGTCAGACCAAAATTGCTTCAGGAGACTTGCATATCTTCATAGTAAGCATAAAGCTCAACCCTTCTTGTGAAAGTCTAAGAATGAAAACTTGTAAACCATTCTGTCTTTGACAAAGTCAAATAATGTCATGAACCAGCAGGAGATTCATTAGTATGAAAAAAATGTTGCTCTATGTTTTGGTTGGAGGA